CCAGCAGCTCCAGCAGCTCCAGCACCAGCAGCACCTCCAGCAGCTCCAGCAGCTCCAGCACCAGCAACACCTCTAGTACCAGCAGCACCGCCAGTAGCTCTAGCAGGACCTCCAGCAGCTTCAGTACCAGCAGCACCTCCAGCAGCTCCAGCACCAGCAACACCTCCAGCAGCTCCAGCACCAGCAGCACCTCCAGCACCAGCAGCACCACCAGCAGCGTCAGCACCAGCAGCACCTCCAGCAGCTCCAGCAGCACCAGCAGCAGCTCCAGCACCAGTAACACCTCCAGCACCAGGAGCACCTCTAGTAGCTCCAGCAACACCAGAACCTCCAGCACCAGTAGCACCTCCAGCAGCCCTAGGAGCACCTCCAGCACCAGCAGCGCCTCCAGCAGCTCCAGCAGTACCAGCAGCACCACCAGCAGCCCTAGCAGCACCTCCAGCACCAGCAGCACCTCCAGCAGCAGCCCCAGCACCAGTAGCACCACCAGCAGCCCTAGCAGCACCTCCAGCACCAGCAGCACCTCGACAGCGCCGAGAGTACCAGTCACGAAGCTGCTGTGGAGAGAGGGGCTCCCGCCGCGACGGGACCCCTAGAGCACCGCCAGACTCAGCACACGAAGGCGCAGCACCTCCAGACGCAGTACCCTCAGGCTCCACACGCCCAGGCTCAGCACCCCCAGACGCAGCACCCCCAGACACAGAAACCCCAGGCTCGGCACCCCCAGTCTCCGCACCCGCAGGCTCAGCACCCCTAGTAGCACCTGAGTCGACAGCTACCTCGACCGGCTCAGCAGGGTCTACCTGGGACACACCTGAGGGGGCAGGACCCTGGGGGGGAGGGGGTCTACCGGGGGAGAACCTGGTGTGAGGAAGAGCGGCGGGGGGGGGGAGAGAGGCAGTGCGGTAGGGAAAGACACGGTAGTAACACACCGACTCGTCAAACGTGACGTCCTGAGAGGACACAACACGACGCGAGGTGGGGTTGTAGAACTGCCACCCGGGAGCGTCAGGAGGGAAGCCAAGGAAGACACAGGGAACGGCATGGGAGGACAGCTTGTCCGCTGTAGTATCGCGGACAAAAGCTCGAGATCCCCAGACACGGAACGCGGACGCATCGCCAACCTTCCCCGTCCACCGCAGAGTAGGTGTGGTCTCCGGCAAGGAAACACGAGGCTGAAGGTTGATCTGATGCGCAGCGTACTGAACCGCGAATGGCCACAGAAAATGGGGAGCAGCCGCATGGATCATGGACGTACGAGCGACGTCCATGACCATGCCAATGCGGCGCTCAGCAATCCCATTTTGCTGCGGGGAGGCCGGAAGCGTGAACGTCTGGCGGATGCCCTCCGAACGTCAGAAGGCCCTCAGGAGGTCGGAGGAAAACTCCCCACCTCTGTCTGAGTGCAGATGCAGAACAGGAAGGTCCGAGCCGAAACTCTCACTGAGCTCGCGACGATCACCGCGGATCAACTCGATCAACACCTCAGGGACCTCACCCTTGCTGCGCAAGGGGAAGACTGTGGTGTAACGCGAGTAGTCGTCAACGACCAGCAGGAAGTAACGCTCGTGACCCTGTCCACGGACGCGGGCTAGGCCTCACACGTCCATGTGAAGAGTCTGCAGAGGAGCCTCAGTCGGAGGGAACGAGGAGGAGTGAGGAGCGGCGCGCTGCCGGCCCTCGACACTGGGAACACAGGTGGGGGCAGGCCCCGGAGGAAGGGGAGGGAGGGACCTGGGGAGACCAGAGACAAGGGCACGGGAGGCCATACCTCGAAGACGAGGCAGGGAGGGGTGACCAAGGCGGTGGTGCCAAAGGAGAGTCTCGTGCGACAGAGGACGACACGAGCAGGGGGCAGGCGCAGGACTAGACCTGGACGCGGCAGCAAACACCTGACTAGACGCAGCTACCTGACCAGACGCAGAGACCGGAGGAGGTGCAGTAGTCAGTGTGTACAGACTCGACCCTGGCCGACGGGTGAACGTGGCCAGGTGGCGGCCCGTCCGAGAGCAAGTGCAGTGGGTCACACGCTGACCTCCAGGGGTGAATTGGTCAACCCACGCGTCCTGGAGGTCAGCTCCACTCACCAAGTTCGTAGAGAACGAGGGGAGGTGGAGTCCCGACAGCAAGCCCGACAGGGCCGCAAGACACGGTAGAACCGTGGAAGAGTGTGCAAGGACTGGGCCCCCGGAGGGGTCAGCAAGGGAGACTGCAACAAGCCGACTAAGCGGCATGAGTGTGGTGCTGTCTCTAAAGAAAGAGCGCGAAGCACCAGAGTCAAGTGTGAAAGTGTGCAAGGCCTCAGTAGGTGCATTACCAGAGAGAGCAGACGCACCAGCACCTGGAGCAGCAGACGCACCAGTACCTGGAGCAGCAGACGCACTAGCACCTAGAGCAGCAGCCGCAATGCCCAGGTCGGGCGGGACACTCAGGTAACAGTCACCCTCAGCACTATCAGCAAAAGCATACATGGCAGCAAGGATAGCATCGAAATCAAGATCAAAGATAGGCACATTCTGCAGAAGCAGATCATGCCAGCGGGGGAGCTCAACAGCGTCAGGAAACTGGGCACGCCAGGCGTCAGTCAAGCGACCAAAGCAGCGCGGTGTAGTGTGTGGCAGCCCACACGTCTCCCCACGAGGACTGCCTGTGCGAAAAACGTAAGTGCAGGGACCTGCACCCCCAGACCTCCCACGCCCAGCGTACCACTCACGAAGCTGCTGGACCGACGGGGTCTCACGGGAGCGCAGCTGCTGCTGGCGCTGGCTGCCACCAAAGCCTCCACGCTGCGCGGCTGCACCTCGACCAGCACCACCGCCGCCGCCACCTCCACCACCGCTGCCGCTGCCTCCACCACCTCCGCCACCGCCGCCACTACCTCCACCGCCGCCACTGACGCCCCCACTCCCGGTACCACCCCCACCTCCACCGCCACCTCCTCCGCCTCCTCCACCTCCTCCACTGCTTCCCCCGCCGCCCCCTCCACCACCCTTGCTCCCCTTGCCCTTGCTGTTGCGGCGTCTCCCACTAGGGGCAGACGCAGCTCCGACCTCCTCAGTGCCAACGAGGTCGACAGCAGCAGCAGAAGCAACAGAGGGGAGAAGGGGGACAGGGGAACACCCCTCAAAGAAGGGGGTGCGACGGTCGCCGCGAGAAGCACCTACAGCTAAGATACTCTTCTCAGCTGCAGCAAGGCGCTCCTCTAGCAGGTCGACAATCAGCTCGGTGGGGCAAAGGGAGAGAAAGTGGTCCCTGACTGAAGAAAGGGAGTCAGGGAGGCGGGTGACTAGGTAGTAAAGGGTGATGTACATGGGGGGAGGGTTCTTGGCACAGAACTCAGTGGGAAGGGCAGCGCGGTAGCGGGCGTCACTAGTGCGAAGGTGAGCAACTAGGTCAGCAACTGTGGCAAAGGCGGCAAGGTCAGGGAAAAGGTACGGCAGCATGAGGCGGCTGAGGGCAGCAGTGGCAGGGGAGGAGTAGCGTGCAACTACAGCGTCGTACAAAGACTGAGCAGTCTTGTACTGGACAAAATGTGCGCGCTCAGCAGGCGGCAGGTGACTACGAACAGCAAGACGAGCAACAGCGTCACGAGTGGTCCACTGCGAGCGAACCGTACTGTCAGCAGTGGCAGCAAGAGCAGTGGAAACACCGGACGTGTGATCGAAAAGGGATACCCCATCCCTAGAATCACACTGAAGAAAGAGCTGTAGGTCGTCAACCCACACGTCAAAGTCAACTGCACGTCCCTCAGCATCAAAGGTGAGAACGGTAGGACTAGCCATAGCAGCAGTAGGAGCAGTAGCAAGAGTAGCAGTAGTAGCAGCAGTAGCAGCAGTAGCAGCAGTAGCAGCAGTAGAAGCAGAGGCAGTAGGGCAGTGCAAGGCAGTGCTGCTTGGCTGGGCGGCGCGGCTCGGTGGGGCGGCGCGGCTCGGCTGAGCGGCGCGGCTCGGCTGGGCGGCGCGGCTCGGCTTACCAGAGACGGGTGCAGGGGCGGGCCGTGACTGCAGGGGCTGCGCCAGTAGGGGGGGGGGGGGGGGGGGGGGGCGCACCAGCAGGGGCCGCGCCAGCAGGGGCCGGCAGGGGCGCGTCAGCAGGGGCCGGCAGGGGCGCGCCGGTAGGGGCGCGTCAGCAGGGGCCGGCAGAGGCGCGTCAGCAGGGGCCGGCAGGGGCTCGCCAGTTGGGGCGCGTCAGCAGGGGCCGGCAGGGGCACGGAAGGGCCGGCAGGGGCGCGCCAGCAGGGGCGCGTCAGCAGGGGCCGGAAGGGGCGCGCCAGTAGGGGCCGGCAGGGGCGACGGCAGCTGTTGAAGGGGCAGCTTAGAGCCGCGAAGGGGGGGGGCGCGAATGGCCGCGAAGGGGCCGCGAAGGGCCGTAAGAGGGGCCGCGAAGGGCCGCGAAGGGCCGCGAAGGGCCGCGAAGGGGCCGCGAAGGGCCGCGAAGGGCCGCGAAGGGCCGCGAAGGGGCCGCGAAGGGCCGCAAAAGGGGCCGTTAGGGGCGCGACGGGGAGGGCCCTAAGGGCGGGCCGCTAAGGGCAGAGCGCGCGACGGGAGGGCAGGCGCACGGGGCGCAGCTAAGACAAGCGCGAAGCGCGCTTCGGGCAGGTAAGGAAAAAAAAATTCGTAGTGGTGGGCCCTTAAAAAAAAACGGTCCCACTAGGGAACCCGCTCTATACCATGTGAGAATAATGAGAGGGAGTGAATGAACTAGAAAGCAGGTGGGTACATATAGGAAACCTAAAAGTGTTGTACCCTGTAAGAACTACCCCACTACAGCCTAAACAGATTATAGCATATAAGTTTGACAACTGGCTCTGCGGCTAGACGAGCGGCTGGAGCAACTGACTCACGGGCAACAGGAGCAACGGGCTTACGGCCGACTAGAGCTGCTGGCTTCACAGCGGCCACCCCCCTTCAAGCTCCCCCACTCCCCAAACCTCCCCCCCACAGCAGCAGAAGTTGCAAAGAGAGACAGGGCAGTCAGGGCAGGCACAAGGCAGGGGCGGCTCAGGGCAGGGGTGGCTGGAAACGGAGAGGAGAGAGGGGGGGGGGACGAGGCGTGTGGTGCTGCAGATCCCCTCTTGCCACCGCCTTAACCTCCAAGCTCATCCCCCCCCCCTCCCAACACAACAACAAGAGGCAAGGAGAGAGAGGAGGAGGAGGTGGGCGGCTGGCGCAGCAGAACCCCTCCTGCCACCCCCTCACCCTCCACTATCCGCCACCCCCATCACCCTACCCCCCACAGGCGCTGGTGCTGGCAGAGGCACGGGCAGGGCGCGGGCTCCACTCCCCTGCCACCTCCCCCCCACCCGCCATCTCCCCGCACTGCAGAAGCAGGCGCGGGCAGGAAAGGTGACGGGGGGGAAGAAAACGAGACCGGGGGGAGGGAAAGGGCCACGACGACTGCCACGAGCGTTGTCCCCCCGACAAATCTTCCCCTCCCTCCCCCCCTTCCCCCCCTCTGGTGCACCAGCAGCAGTGAGAAGGGGGGTAAATGGGGAGGGGCGGCGCAGCAGGCGGCTGCAGTTGCACGTGTGTCTGAAGCTGCACGTGACGCTGCAGTCGTGCATGCGGCTGCTGCTGTGCATTTCGCAGCAGTCGCGCGCGCGGCTGGTGACGTGCGTGCAGTTGCGCGCTCGCGGGTGCGTGCAGTTGCGGGCTCGCGGCTGCGTGCGTGCGGCTGTGCGCACTGCGCGCCGCTGGACGAGGACGGGACGGGCTGGGGCAGCGGGGGACGGACGGGCTGCGACGGGGGGCCGCGACCAACTCGCCGCCATGACCGTTGCGACGGTCGCGACCGTTGCGACCATCGATAATACGGCCGTGACGGGGGTGCGGAACATGCGTCGTGAGAGGAGGAACACGCAGTGGACCCATGAGGGAATCGGTCTAGGAACGACCGGCTCTTAATACCATGTAAAGTTAAGCTTAGTAGTGCCTACGGTTTGGGTGCTAGGCAACTATCGAGAGTAGAAAGGAAGGGGGGTTTCACTATAGAAAGTTGGAAACATATATGCAAACAAAAGAGAGGTGCACCACCAAACAAGTTTAGAACTACATTAAGTCTACACTACAGGCAGTTATAATATAATGCATGTAATTATATTCCGACAGGTAGGTGAAGCTGGGAGGGATGAGAGGAAGGGAAACAGTAAGAGGAAAAGTAAGAGGAAAGTGAAACTTACATCTGTAAGGCAGGGAATAGTAAGAGGAAAGTGTGGGGGAGATGAGAGGTGAGTTGGTGGAAGGAGGGGAGAGGGCGAGGAGGATGAGGGCTGGGTGGGGTGGAATATGAGGGGTGAGAGTGGGTGGAGATGATGGGGGATGGGGGGTGGGTGGGAGAAAATGGGGGGTGAATGGGAAGGGAAAGGAGGGGTGAGCAGTAAGGGAAAGGAGGGGTGAGTGGGAAGGGAAAGGAGGGGTGAGCAGGAAGGGAAAGGAGGGGTGAGTGGGAAGGGAAAGGAGGGCTGAGCAGGAAGGGAAAGGAGGGGTGAGTGGGAAGGGAAAGGAGGGGTGAGTGGGGGAGGGAAAGGAGGGGGAGAGAGTAGACGACAGGTGAATGGAGGACGGGGTGCGATGAGGGGTGCGGTGGGGAGATGAGGGGAGAGCGGGGCAGGGAATGGAGGGGGGGGGGGATGACGGGAGATCAAAAGAAAAATGAGGGGTGGGGGAGACGAGAAGAGGGGGGAACGGGGAGATGATGGGAGAACTGGAACAGGAGATGTGAGGAGAGCAGGGTAAGTTGAGGGGAATGTTGAGGGGAGATAAGGGGTGACGGGTAAGAAGATGAGGGAAGGAGCGCGGAAGAAGCAGGGAGAGATGAGGGAAAAGCAGGGGGGGGGGGGGGGGGGGGGGGAGAGAGGAAAGCGGGGAGACATTAGGGAAGAGCGGGAGGAGATGAGGAAAGTTTCCCCCCACCCAACCGCACCCCACACCCCATCCCTCCTCCCCAGCTCTACCCACCTCCCCTACCCCTCACCCCCCACCACCATCCCCCCTCCTCCTCCACTCGCCTTCCCCCCTTCCCCCGCTCGCACCCCCCACCCCACCCCCCTTACATTTCCCCTTATCACCTTTCTACCGACTTGCCTGGAAGCGGACCCCTTTTCCCTTTTCACTTGCATCCGCTTAATCACTGCGATTGACGCTTGACTTGCTCGCCACAAATCGACTTGCGACCTGCATCCGCCTACGGGTTCGACTTGCCTAACGCCATCGAGTAGTCGTCAGCGTCGAATCTAACGGGTGCGAACCGAAGCTACTAATGCGCCCATATCGAAAGTGTCCGTAAATCGACGGTGGCCGCCACGTCGATGTTAACTAATCCGTCTGAAATGTGTCCAGAAATCGATGTTAAGAAACCAAGAAAGTTAGAAATGAGAAAGAGGGGTTTCACTAGCAAGCAGTTGAGTACATATAGCAAACCCTAAATTGGGCTGTACTCACTATTGAGTACCCCACTGCAGGCTAGACAAAACATAACATTCTGACACACCCCCATAGCCAAAGTGGGGTGTAATCAGCACAACAAGCAAAGCAAAACAAGCTCAGGGTGGATCACAAAGTCACCACACATTCTGAGCACAAGTACAAGAAGTAGCAGTGTATAGTTCACAAATATAAGCAAAGCTAGAGGCAGTCACAGATGGTAAGTGAGGAGGAGGAGGGACTGTGAGAGGAGAAGAGATAGGAGACGACAGGTGAAGCTGCAGACACACGGGCAACAGGAGCGGCGCGCACTGTGGCTACCGGAGATTGTAGCCTCCGGACTACTGGAGTAACTGGCTCCGCGACTAACTCTGAGCTGCAGGAGCAACGGACCCACGGGCGACTGGCGCAGCAGGCTCGCTGGGCTACCGGAGATTGTAGCCTCCGGACTACTGGCGCTGCTGGCGACACGACAGCTGCCTCCGCCCAACATCCTCTAACTGTCTCACCCCCCTTTCACACACCCCTTGCTGCACCCCTATCTTCACTCCCACTCCACCCCTTAGCACCACTCCATAGGCTCCCACACACCCACCCCCCTCAGCGGCAGCTGCAGCAGTGGGAGACGGAGGAGGAGGAGGAGTAGGGGAGACCACTTACATCCGGCACCCCCACACTCGCCACCCCCAAACCCCAACACAGGGCAGGGCAGCAGCAGGGGCGCGACGAAGACGGGAGGGGCGACGCGCGCGCCCCCCCCCCCCCCCCCCCCCCCCCTGGCGCCGCGACGGGCGACGGGAAAAGGCGGGGGGCAGGGTCGGGGCAGGTCCGGGACAGGGCCGGGACAGGGTCGGGGCCGGGGCAGGTCCGGGACGGGGCCGCAACGGGGCCAGGGAAGGGTCGGGGCCGGGGCCGGGACAGGGTCGGGGCCGGGACAGGGTCGGGGCCGGGGCAGGTCCGGGACGGGGCCGCAACGGGTCCAGGGAAGGGTCGGGTCCGGGGCCGGGACAGGGTCGGGGCCGGGACAGGTCCGGGACGGGGCCGCGACGGGGCCGAGGCAGGGCCGGGACAGGGTCGGGGCCGGGGCAGGTCCGGGACGGGGCCGCGACGGGGCAGGGCCGGGACGACGACGGGAGGGGCCGACGCGCGGCCCCCCTTCAGTCGCGCCCCCCCCCCCCCCCCCCCGGGCGCCGCGACGGGCGACGGGAATTGGGGCCGCGCGGGCCCCCCCGGGCGACGAAACCGCCGTGCGCCCCGGGGCGCGCGACGGGCAGGGCACCGCCGCGCGCCACGGGGCGCACGACGGGCAGAGAAGGGCGTCGCGCAGCCCCCAGGGCGGCGCGACGGTCAGAAAACCGCCGCGCGCCTCGAGCGCGCGGCGGGAAGAAAATTGGCCGCGCGCCATGGGCGCGCAGCTGACAGAAAGACAGTGCGCGCCCGAGGCGCGCGATAGGCAGGACAGCAGGAGCAGCAGCGGAAGCTAACGGTGGGCCCATGCACAGGATCGACCCGTGAGGGTCGACCTGCTCTGATTCCATGTTAAGAAACCAGGAAAGTTAGAAATGAGAAAGAGGGGTTTCACTAGCAAGCAGTTGAGTACATATAGCAAACCCTAAATTGGGCTGTACTCACTATTGAGTACCCCACTGCAGGCTAGACAAAACATAACATTCTGACAATCGACACGGCTAATGTGTTCGCAAATTGTCCGAAATCTAACGTTACTATTTCAGCCGCACTGAGTAAGTTCCAAAAAATGGTGCGACTACTGGCTACCTTATGCAATCTGAGGCGCGCAACTGTCGGTACCTATTTCACTAAGATCTGATAATGGTGAGAGTTGCTGGCGGCACTTACATCATTACGTGAAGCGACTACTACAGAACTATGCATGATTTCAGCGACTGACACTATCTACGGTGCTACGCCTTGGGTCGCGCTTAAATATGACGAAACGACACCAAGAAGCGGCGGTGGCGCGCCAATATCTACTAAGAAGGAACGAATACTGGTACTAGGCTACTAAGCTAGAAGAGCATTGCTGAACTAATAGTAGGGGCAAGGTGCTGGTTGAAATATCATGGAATATCTCAGCGGAAACGGGTCGTCAAGCCTGACGACCTGTTGACGACTTGACGACATGCTGCCCCGGACAGAAAAAAACTAAAACCATATCAGATGGCATGCCATCCAAGGGAGGCATCAACCCTAAATCCATGCCTCCCTGTGTTTGGGGTTGATGCCTCCCTGACCGGATGCATGCCCGAATGGTTTTTTTATTTTTTTTTTTTTATTTTTTACCGCGGGCAGCGAGCTCCTGTGGGCGGACTCGCTTGTCCTCTGAGATATATTCGGAGGTGGTTGTTGGTGACCGAAAGACCCTCGACTCCTATTGGCTCGCGTGACTGTTTATCTCAACCACTCCAAGCTATTTCTGCTGCCCGAACCTGGTTCACAGGCAGCGAAGGGAGTTCCTAGAGCAGCTAAACTTCACCAGGATTCAGCCAAACGTTTTTTTACCCCCTTCTACACCACACAATCCAGCGCCTCACGCGGGCCTCACTAAATAAAACTCATCGTCCCACGTCAGTTTCCTCCTAAAAGGTTCGTGCCTGCCCCGGCTCCAAACCTGGGCTGCGCACCAAACCCATTCACCTGCGTTACGCGCCCACTCGCTTGCAGCAACACAACGCAAACCAACTGAAGAGAATTCTCAACTGAAAATCGAGGTGCTCAGATCGTATTGCAATAGAGTTTGGGAATGTTATGTACTGTACACACTGTCAGAGGTCCACTGGTGATCCCCGATTGATCCTAGGGAAGGGTTACAGGCTTGTTGTCCTGGGGGGTTATGGGCACTGACCCGCTGATAAGAAACAAGGAATGAATGAACTATGAATGAATTGGGTACAAGTACTAACCCTAATTGGGTTGTACCCCTTATGGGTTACCCCACTATAGCCTACACAATATGCATGAGCTATAATATTATGACACACCCCCATAGGCAAAGTGGGGGAGAACAAGGGGTCACAAGACCAGTCAAGCAAAGTAAAGCAAAGCAAGCTCTGGGTGGATCACAAAGTCACCACACATTCCGAGCACAAGTTCAAGGCCACAAGGCCAGTTCACATGCAGGAGTACATATATATATAAAGGCTAGACAAGCAAGAGCAGGTATAAATATATGTAACAGCACAAGCAAGGTCAAGAGGTGAGCAAGTGAGGCAAGGTAGGCACAAGGCCCAGCTGAGTACAGAAGCGCTGATGGTCACAAGGCGCAAGCGCCTTGGTGAAGATATCAGCAGTGTTGGCCTCAGAGGCCACGTACGCAAGACGCAGCTGACCACGCTGCTGCAGCTCACGAGCAAGAAAGTAGCGGAGAGCAATGTGCTTCGTTCTGTGCTCCAGTCGCTGCTCCCGACACAAGGCCAGCATGGCCTTGTTGTCTACGTACAGCACTGGAGGAGAACGAGGCAGCTCTCCGAGGTCAGTCAGCAGGTAGGTGAGCCAGCGAAGCTCCTGTGCAGCCATGGCTCCTGCGTAGATCTCAGCCTCACAACTGGAGCCGAGAACAGAAGACGAGCGGGTAGCCCGCCACGAAACAGAGCCGGAACCAAGGCTGAAGGTGTAACCCTGTGACGACCGCTGCGTAGCCTGGTCGTCAGCCCAAGAAGCGTCTGCGTGCCCAGTAAGGACCACTGGACTCTGCCCTCCAAGCACAAGCCCCATGCCCGACGTACTGCACAAGTAGCGCAACACCCTCTTCGCTGCAGCCATGTGCTCCGGTCTGTGTCTCCCAGGAGCAACATAGCGTGCAAGAATGCTAAGAGGGTATGCAAGGTCAGGTCGTGTGCAGGTCATCAGGTACATGAGGCAGCCAACAAGCTCTGGGTACGGGCCACTCGACTCTACGGACTCATCCGAAGGCAGAGCTGAGAGCGAGTGGCGAGTAGGCAGAGGAGTGGCCTGAGGCGAGGAGTACGTGAAGCCGAAGCGCTGAAGGACCTGCTGCACCATGTGTGACTGAGTCAGGGTAATGGTGCGGCGTGCTCTGTCCCGAGTGATCTGCAAGCCAAGGTAGCTGCGCAGTTCACCCATGTCAGTGCACGTGTGTCTCTTCTGCAGCTCGGACTTCACGTGGGCTAGTCCAGCAGTGTCAGCTGTGGCAAAGACCAAGTCGTCGACGTACACGAGGATGTAGAACGGCGGCAAAGAAGTGTCGGTGCGCAGAAACAGCGACGGGTCGGCAGTAGAGGGAGCAAACCCAAGAGCCGCAAGTGTAGTCCTCAGTGTGTCGTGCCACTCACGCGGTGCCTGGCGGAGACCGTAGACTGGCCGCCGTAGGCTCCACTGGGCGCCAGGAGGAAAAGACCCAGTGAAGCCAGGTGGGCGACGCAGCCAGATCTCCTCGTGCAGGCTGCCCTGCAGGAAAGCAGTGCTGAAGTCAAGAGAGTGTAGCTCGTAGTCACGGTGAGCAGCTACGTGCAGCAGTACCCGAAGAGTGGTCATCTTCGGGGTGGGAGAGAAGGTCTGAAAGTAGTCAACTCCCTGCCGCTGACTGAAGCCACGAGCCACGTAACGCGCCTTGAAGACAGGCGGAGAACCCGGCGGTCGCTTCACCCTGAAAATCCACATGCCACTGACGATGTTCGCCCCAGGAGGGGGAACAGCGTCAACGTAGGTGCCTGTGGACTTCCAGGAAGCCATCTCTGCGTCCATAGCTGCCTGCCACTGAGAGGAGTAGGGACCCTCTATCGCCTCCGCGTAAGAGCGCGGAGTCGGGATGTCAAGTGCATCCGGGTCTCCCTCAGGGGTAAGCAGTACGGACACGAGATGAGGTGAA